GGAAGAAAATAAAAAAAATAAAAAATATTCGCGAGTAAAAAAAAAAAAAAAAAAAAAAAAAAAAACCCACACACACACACACACACACACACACACACACACACACAATATCCAAGGATGGGACGCGATCCACCTTTAGAGGTCGCAGTCACGCCTGAGCACTAATCAACTGGACAGGCGGTAAACAAGTCACGCCGTTTGGCAGGCTGAGAGGTTCAAAAACACACGTGTCCATATGGCAAGAGCTTTAATTTCTGTGCTCCCCGTAAGCATCCATCTGTGTGAGTGTGAGCTTTCAGTGATGTCATCTCTGAACTGTGGGGATGTAGAGTGATGGAGTGTGTTCCCCTCAAACAGGGCGACAGGTGGGAATGTCGGTAGGAAGCCGGAGCGTGGAGTCGGCGGGGCCCGAACAGACCCACGCGCTCTGGGTGCGCCACAGAAACCACAGAGCTCAACTACAATCAGAGTGGTCTGCAACCGCCAATTCAGCACAATGCAGGCAGGACACAAAAGAAACGCTGGGAGGGAGGAGGCGCAGGAAACAAAAGGAGATATGTAGGGAGGGCGGGAGATAAGTACGCCGCTGAAAAGGTCTGAACCAGTTTATAGTTCTACCATACTTCAGAAAAACCTAAAACCCTGGGACTGACTGTTCCACCATTAGGTCTAAATACAAAACAACTTTGCAGAGACCACATTTTAAATTGGGCTTTAAGAGTTTCTTCAACAGGTGAAAGTCACAAGAACAATGTCTGAAGCACAACCAGTAAGAATTTTGTGTCCAGTGAAATGACTGCAGATTTTCAATGATTCTTTAAAAGCTGCATTAGAGGTACAAAAGGAATTCAAATATCCCTGTTAGGCCTCCTGCAATAAATATGGAGGCGCCGTCTCACTGTGCGAGAAACCAAAAAGTAAGAGTTTACATTTTAAAATGACATTAACATCATTAAGATGGCTAGTATTAGTAAAACTCGTTTTTATGTTAGACCTCATCGGTCTAAGATTTCCAAATCCATTGTAATCCATGACAGAGGATGAAAGCTTAAACGGGTAAAAGCAGAGAAACTTTGGTGCTCTGCTACACCTTTCCGTCATCTGCTGGGTTTTGGGGTTGCTAGGTGACGGCGTAGTGCCGGTCTATCGTCACTTAATAATCCAGAGGTTTTTGAAACGACTCATTTTCAGTTCACCAAAAATATCAACTTATTGCTAAAAGCAGCTTCTTCTTTTTTTTAAGTGATTGAGTTGTTTTTAGAAAGTACCGGAAAGCGCAAAATGTGAAGTTAAGCAATGTTCAAAATCCAAAACAAACTCAAAATGAATAAATATGCAACTACTGTCTAAGAAACAAAACAAGACTCAAAGGCTTCCAATACAATAATCAAATAAACATCTAATAAGCATTTATCTACATAAAAATAAAGTGCATGAAAACACAGAGCTGTATATCCAGGCCATGAAACTATTTTTTAGACTCCTTTGATCTAGTTCCCCAGGGAAAGCCTTTATATATACATTAAAAAAAAAAAAAAGCCAGCCCTATTCATGAGGGAAAAAGGAGAAGTCCTTCACTGAGGCGATGTGTAGGTCACCCCCAGAGGACTGCTTCCAAACACCCAACATATAATCTGCTCTCCTCTCTCACAATGACCACTTGAAGATCCTGGCAGGCCGAGCTCCTTTTCTCTTCCTTTGTGTCCCACCCAGCTCCAGCCCCAGCTCCATCCCCACAGGCAGAACAGGCCTGTGGGGATGAACTGGTGTCACTTGAATCTGTTGGATATTTGGCCGCTTTCCCAGTCTCTGGGTGGGAGGAAGAAAACCTCCTCGACTCCTCTCTGTCATTTTGTTTGCAGGCTTGCTGTCCAGGCTACCTGTGCTGCTCAGGAGGTGCAAGAAGCTTTGCGTGGATCAGAGTGTGGACCAACAAGCGCACATATGCGCTCCTTGAGCTCGTGCCAAGTCTCCGCTTGTGTGCTCAAACCTCGGGCTCAGAAATAGACACAGAAGACTGGTGCCAGTCAGCCCTGCCAGATTTACACCGTCACCCACTCTGGGAACGACAGCTGTTCTCTGTTTTAACGGGAACGCCTTGAGTAATACTGTGGTACCTGTTCCGCCGCGCTTTAAATATGGAGTTGTGTTTAATCGAGTGCCAGATGCAGCCTGGGGCGCTCCCGCTCCCTGATAAACATCCAGGTAAAGGCAGAGCAAACACAGAGAGGAACATAGGAGCCTTCCACGCTCTGCTTTCCCATGCGGTTCTGGGCTCTCCGCTGGGCAGCCATCTGCTTCATTCCCTCACACCGGCTCCAACTTTCTGATGACTCGATAAGAAAGCTACATTTTTGTGGCAAGGGGGCACATGAGCGTCAAAAACAAGCTGCCATTGTTGGGCGTAACGTCTGACGTCCCCCGAACTCAGAGGTCCCACAAAGAGAGCAAACTATTAGAAGATGACTCGCAGACTGATTAGAGCCGCAACACTTAATGGCTGGGAAGCCTGGAATATAATAGGCCATTCAAAGCGAAGTCAACAGTCAACATCTCCCCACGCGCGCACGCGCACACACATACCAGAGCCTTTATCCTTTTATTGCTCCCAGTCTCTAAATGAGGCGCTCCCACACTAAGCAGCTCAGCTGCATTCAACAACATTTAGCTGGGCTAATCACCACTTTCTGCCTAGGGAAAGTCTGAATCTATTCGACAAACAGCAGTAGCAACGTGTTGGATGAGTTTTGTCCCTTGAATGCCTCAAATGTCCACTGTAGTGAAGAGAGGAGGCAGGAAAGCAGGATTCAGGGGGTCAGCAGTCAGGGACGTGGCTGATGAGCCGAGCAGCGCAGGCTGCGTCAGTCGCAAAGGCCGGCTCCCTTTGAGTAAATAATCAGCGGTTAGAGCTGAGAGCTAGCCTGCTGGGCTCTGTTGACATGGAAAGATAAGTAGGGAGGCTGGCTAGTGTTCAGGCTGAAATTAATATTGAGGAAAAACTGCAAAGACAAGCAAAAGCCTTTAACAAATTCACCTAAAACAGGATTAAATGTTTTTTATATTTTAACTAAATTGCTGCATCGATTAACCTCAACGATGTTCCATCTGAGGGGTGATGTACAGCGTAGATCGGTCACCAGTTCATTAACAGGGTTTCACCAACTCAAATGTAAGACTTTTAAAATTATGAATGAAATTTAAAATTTAAGACTTGTAGCACAATGGATATGTAAAAAAAAGACAATACATTTGGGGTAAATTTGCACTTACTCATGATAAAAAAAGCTAGCCAGCTAGCAAGGGTATATTGGCAGCTAGCTACTGGTAGCCTCAATTAAAGGGAATCGCACAATGCAGTGAAGATGTCTGCGGGTGACTTGAACTTTAGAAAAGTTTAATAAAGTCTGAGTATACAAGACTGTCCTGCCACGACAAAATCTAAGACCTATGGTTAACTTATTTAAGGACAACTTGCATTTTTTTTAATACATACATGAATCTAGGACTTTTTAAGGGTGGTTGTACACCCTGATTAAAGGGCCTCATTGTACGGCTTTTGCACCAAAGTGGTTCCAGTATTTAACCAGCCAGTTCTTCACTGGTTCCGTTAAAAAAAAAAAAAAAACAGCAAAAAAAACAAAACAAAACACAAACTATTTGCTTTTCCACCACCCGAGGGCCAAGCCAATGCTGTGCCATTACATCACTATAAACGACTCATCCACTTAGTGATCCTGCCACTGTTTTTTGCTGCGTTTTTGTAAAGGATTCTAGTGGTTGGAGAGAGTTTAACAAACAGGGAATACCAGCAAACAGATGTCTGTACATCACCAATCAAATTTATGTTTCACAATCCAAATCAGTTGATCGCTCATCGGTGCCAGAACCGCTGGAAAATCAGAGTTAAGTAACTTTTACACCAGAATTCATCAACAATGACACAAAGTTACAGAAGGGACCTGGAGATGGCATTTATGGATTCAGTAGAAAATAATTTGCAGTTTTCTTTTTCTATGTAGCACACTGAACCTCTTGAGTTCAATGAAGAGAGACATTATTGTATACAGTTTGGAAACCGCTTGTTTTATTGTGATGTTACTTAGATTTTGTTGTTGTGAAAGCGGAATGTTTTTACAGTTTTTTCTTTTTAATTTAGAACATCAAAGGTGAAGCTAAACTCAAAGTGTGGAGCTCATAAATTTTGAACTGATTAGATTGTCAGGTTTTGAATCTGCTTAAATCAGTATTGGCAGGTCAAAGCTTTACAAAAAAAAGATCAGATAAAAGATCTGGATCAGTAAATCTTCCTCCTGCATGATACCAATTGCAGGAGGAAGCTAGAGAACACAGAAAAAAAATCAACGCTTGGCTGAAAACAACATGCAAAGTTAAAACAAAAATGGTTGTGGCTGAGATTTGAATTTAGGAACATCTTGTTGTGAAACAGCTGAAGTAACAACAAGTCATTAATATACTTCATGAACAAGGCAGAACAAAAAATAGGGAGAGAGAAAAATTGTTTTTGTTGCATAGCACTTGTAAATAGTACTCTGTGTATGTAGACTGCACATGACACCATGTAAATTAACCTCAGTTGCCTCAGCGGTAGGCAGTCTGTCTGAGTCGAGAGGCAAACATGAAAGAATAGCTGAGGACTCCACATAATGTGCTTCATGCTGTAAATGTTCATAAATGGCTTGGAATGCAGTCTGCAACCAGCTCGCTGAAGTTCAGCTCTGACAGGAATGATTTTTTTTTTCTTTTCTTATTGATCTAAAATGAACTTGATACGCATGCGGTCCTATGACTGATGAATACAGCACCTGATTTACCTTGAGGGGAAACTCCAGCTGAAGCACACCGGTTTCTGTTTCACTCCAACGATTGGGAATGGAAATGTTTTTTTGTCCGTTCTCTTCTTTCAGAAACTCTCTGAATAAAGAGCTGGTTTAACATTTCGTGTCTCAGAAAACATAACTGCCCAAAAGAAGAAAGAAACGCTAGGAAGAAATGCAACGTCCATTTCATTCTGGTGTGAAACAAGGGTTTCTATCTCCCAACTGGGTCAAGGAGACGCTTCAGCTGCGTGTTTTTTCTCTCTTTTTTTTTCCACAGCAGCTAAAAATAAAGCTGGTCAAATTGTAAATCCACCATCAGGACTAAAAGATACAGAGACTAAACACACCTTCCCCACCATCATATCAATCTCAGCAGCTTTCTGAGAGAGACATAAGACATCAAACAGATTTTTACCATCGGCTCCAAAAATAACTGGGAGTGAGGGCAGTTTCCCAGAGCGAGGGAAACAACAGAACATGGAATCTGCCCCATTGTTCGAAGCCAACGCCAAAGTGTAAATGGCACTTTTCCCAGTAGCTGTAAACATACAGGACTGGACAATGCAGTCTCTGGAAATAGGGCAACGAGTAACCATGTGTCATTGTCCAGTTGTGGGTTTCAAACAAACTTGAATACCAATGAGTTCAACAAGGAGAGAAAGAAAGAAAGAAAGAAACAGCAGAGAGTTGCGTAGTGAACTCCAGCGGTAGCGTTTAATCAGATCATCAAGGAACGGCTGAATTGCAGCTTTCTGCTTCATTGCCACTCTGGCATTTTGCGATGTACGGATAGGACACCTCTGACAAAGCCCAGAGGGGGCTGTTGGAGAGTTCGTGTTTCACACATGAAAGTCCAGTAGACTCGGTTCCTTTGGGGACGAAAATTGCAATATTTGTTACATTTTCCGCTGGTGTGTTTTGCTTTCACACTGAACCGCGTCAAACAATTCAAACTAATTGAGAAACCTGTTCCCCTCCTCACCAGTGGTGGCGCTGCACCAATAGCTACTCCAGGAAACACAAAAATCATTGAAAGACGACAGGAGCGCAACTTCCTCCTTCGCAAAAAATGTGAATAAAAATGGAGTAGCATCAGAATTTAGCAGAAGGATTTCTCTTTTGTCTTTGGTAAAAGACCACAATCCATTTCTCCCGCTAGCGCAAGACACCTGTGTTTGTTTTGGTTGCATTTACCCCGAATGCCTTGCACTGTAGTTCTTTTCATGCTTTGGGAGCGGTCTCCGGTTTGCTTGTGTCCAAATATGCATTCGTACCAGCACAGAGTTCATTCCAACTGAACCGAGACCTGGGTTTTTAGGCGGACCAGAGTCTGCACCAGAGTTCGATGGCGCTTTCACACCTCCCCAAACGAACCAGACTTTCAAAGGAGAACTAGAGTTTGATTGAAGTGAACTAGACTAAGAGGAAAGCATTGAGGCAGTAAGTTGCCAGGTAATCGAGAACCTTCTCTGACAAACAGCCCACTCTGAGCTGTTCCTGATGGACCAAGGCAGGCGGAGCGCTCACACAGGGCTCGCCATTCATCCAGGAAACCTTAGCACCCTGAATCGCCGAGCCCAGCAACAAGTGCTAGGGGTCCACCCTTTACCGGTGTATTTACAGGAGTAGCTGCCTCCTATTTCTGCTCAGACACCAACTTAAAAATAAGATGGTGCCTCCAGGGAAAGGGAGAAGTGTTAAATCATCTCACCACGCGGAGAAAAGCAGTTAAATTGTGCAATGCTGAGAAACTACCGAGTTATTTCCCCAAACAAAGCATGCAGAGGCCTGTGAATGAAACACAAGACACGATCTGCCAAAATACGACACTTCTGTTTGGTTATGGATAAAGCATGTACAAAGTCTATTCAGGGTGGCTGCTAAGCAACGCGCTTATCTAAATATTGTAAAGCATGAAGCGTAGATATGGACCGACAACAGAGCACTTGGCAGCAGTTCCAGTAGCTGTAACTGTAAACCCGACACGCCGCAGGGCCCGGGGCCTCGCTTCTGTTTCGCAGCGTGACGAGGAGGGCCGCAAAGCCAAATGGAGGGGCGGCAAAAGCCAGAGCTGCTCCTGCAGGAAAACAGGAAAAAAAACTGAGATGAGGTGCAAGATGCGTGACTGGGGTCCAACTCACCACCCCAGATGTCCGGAACAATCCAGAGAGAGGGGAGAGTGCACATACCTCACATGACAGAAAAACGTCCTGCACCTGCCGTGCACACATTCTCTGGGGCTTTTGTTTAACACCTCCCATTCCTATCGTGTCAGAGGGAGAAGGGAGCAGGACACCCGCAGCACAGCTTGTATTCAGCAATGCTTCTTCACTTTCTGAGGAGCCTTTGAAGAGTTGTTTTCTGTAAATGCTGGTTGCTTTTTAGTCCCGATTGAAAAATCAGAACAGTCCCTTCAGTTGTTTAAACTACAGAATGTCACGCTGTATGCAATTGACTTGTAAGGATTCACCTTACTCAGACAAAAACTGCTGTTTTGGGGCCTTGCAATTTGTTTTTTTGTAAATGCAAATGAAGAAAAGATCAAGAAAACTGCCTAATCAGCCAATCTCCAGAAGGATTGTTTGTTTTTTTGTATGACTTTGTCTAGTTGACTGATTTGTAGGCATCTTTTAAGTTTCCTAAATACCCATTCTTCTGGAAAAGTTCAAAAGTTCTGGAAAAGCTAAAACAGACTGAACTTAAAATAAATGTACAATATAATCAAAGACATAACCCAACTAATCCTGAAAGACATTTCTCTTAAGGGAAGCATCATGTATTTTCCAGGCACATAGTGGGATTTTATAGCACAATCCAGTAGCTGTTACCTTCAGTTGTAATAAAAAGGCCATATATATGAAACATGACTGAAAAGAAATTTGAGTTTGCAATTTGACGGCTTGAAGTTGGCCTCTGTGTCTTTAAGAAGCTCCTACTCTGACACTTTGCCTTCACCACGATGCTTCTCATTACACCGTTTACAACAGTTCTTAGGAACCTGGGACTGAAAAGTAGTTTGTTTGATGAGCTAAGCAGACTTGGAGTTCCACTAGATGTTTGCTAATTGCTGCTGCTAGTCTGAAGGAGCTGAGTGGGGAAGTCGCATGGGAGGATGAAATTATACAGTCAGTATTTACTGATAAAATGATTTATAATCACAGCTGGTTGCACAAGATTTCATTACACGGTGTCCGGGATTGAACACAAGTGAGCGCCACACTTTTCAGAATCATTTGTAAAACCATTCGTCATTTCATACATCTGCTAGATAGAGTCCAAATTTAATACAACGAAGTTTGTGGTTGTAAAGCGAAGATCTTCAAGTGATATGAAGACTTTTGCAAGGTACTGTAACTCTGCTAGAGACATGTAGGAGGTACTCATCCCCACAGCAATCTACATTAAAGTTAATGTTAGGCTTCAGGTTGTCATTTACCCATCCTGATCCGTCTTTAGCTTAGCGTTTATTTTATATACCAGACCCACTCAAGCCTGCAGCTTTCTTGTTTTTTTATTCTTAGTTGTTTTATGTCTGATTCTACAAATCCTCGTCTATTTTCTTAAACACCCCCACATTACAAGACCCCTTAGATTCTCCACAAAATTTGCCAACAAATACTTTGGATTCCTGAAGAGAAATGATGGCGGGAACTAATCCACCGACTTTCCCTTTGCTTCAAGCCTCCTCCAGCTTCCTCTTCCTGTTCTGTTTGGATCTCCAGCAGTTGTCGATGTCCATTCCTCGTCACACGCTGGAAAACGAGTTTATGGGGGGAGAGGATCATCTTACACTCTTAGACATGGGAAGCACGCTAGAGCTGCTTTATTTGAGCCAGCAAAGATTGAAGACTGGAAGAAGAGTAAAGACTCAACAGCCAAGAATCTGCATGCCTTGCTGAGGGAAAAAGGGGTCGGATACGAGAGAGCTGTAGGCACCCCCCCGCGCTCTCATCCCTGTGACCGGATTCACTTCCAAACATTGGGATAAGACTAGAAAGCCGTTAATAATGGCTGAAACAATGGTCCTAAGACTGCCTTATATTGCGTCATGTGAAATCACACATGGAAAGTGTTCCCTCTCCAAGGACGTTTTATCTGAACAGATAAATGTCATTGCCACTTAGTGGAGAAGAGTGAACAGACTCTCAGTAACCCTAAAACTGTCTAGTCCAGTTGTCAACTGAGCTGGGCCGATATTTGTTGCTCACCACAGTGACGCACCTAAAGGTTCAACAACCAGACGAACCAGTTTGCTCGAAGCGCTACAGGGCTGG